GAGAGAGAGAGAGAGAGAGAGAGAGAGGCAAGCAAGGGCTTATGTTTTTTTAAAAAATGTTTTATGGCGCTCTCAACTGCATGCGGTCGTCGAAGCCCACTCTGACTATGGCTTAATAGAGGCGGAGTAGAGAGAAAGATAGGGGAGACGTAGAGAGCAACACACACAACCCATACATACACACACAGAGGGAGAGAGAGAGGGGGGTGAGAGAGGAGAGAGAGAGACTCTCCCTTTTGCCTAGCGAGGGGTTGTTGTTGCAGCATACAACCTGAATTTCCAGTCGTGTGCCCTGCTCGTGACAGAACATCCATGATCCTCATTTGTTTGGGTTTTTTTTGTTTGGCTTAGAGCGTGGACGACGCAGCGATGAATCCGTAGATCTACGTACCAAGGACCTAACGTTACAACAAATAACTATTTAAATAGATATCTAACCTTCTTGATCCGTACATAAAGCACGAGAGGATGTTTTATGTTAGCGTCCCATGTTGGTTCAACGCCCACTTAAAACTATGAGGCAAGGAGGTTATAATTTGTTCTCTAAGCGTAAGGTCATTTCTCTGAGCTTGATTCAAATGCGGGACCTCCGAATAGAATGTCTAAAGGGTGGCTGGCGGTTGCTCTGGTGTGGCTTGCTCCTTCTTTCCTACCAAATATCTTTAGTCCTTGTGTATTATATCCCCTTTCTTCTTGTTTGTTTTAGTTACTCTCTTGTATCACCTCTTATGTTCGACTCTTATATGACCTCATTTTGCTTCAAGTGCTGAAAACAAATTGGACATCTTATCAATGATAAGGCATTTCAAATAGGTGGAGAGCCTTAACGACCCCGAAACAACCTATATTCAAGAAATTGAACCGTGCAATCCACGACACAGCCCAGACTTTCTTTGTTCTTTCTTATTTAACATCTGTCATCCTTATCTCTTTAGAATTAGTAAGAGTTTTGCGGTACTTGTAACACTTTTTTTTAGGTCTTATAATTACCAAGTTTAAAGGTGTCACAAGAGAGTAACAAACACATCTGCGGAGAGATCAGGACAATAATTATGTGTTTGTAGGAAAGATGCAGGTTGAGCACACCACACCAGAGCACCCGCTGATCACCCGCATCCTCATCTCACCAATAAATATGTTCTTCTAATAAGACCTTTGTGATGTTGGCACGTATTTTACCTGTATTGACAGTACTGTAAAACTGAAACATAGCCCACCAGGGCTAATTAAAACGCTTGGTTTCATTTCTTTGACAGCGGATGTCGCAGAGACGAGAGAGCTTGAATGCTAATTTTTCCCGACGCTTTATGGCCGTCATCCCATCTATGTATACGGACTCAGACTCAAGAGTTCATTCATGCCGTGCAAAATTTGCCTTACTGCCATTTACAATTAATTATTCTGCTTAGTGGGCAGATTTCTGGTTAGAGATACATAATATATATACATACGATGATTTATCGCTTGCTTAATTGTTTGATTTCCCCCATGTTCACCCACTCCTGTACATCAGTAAATAGGCCTTTTGGCTAGTAACACGAGATGTGCCAAATTTGTGACCCTCTTCCGTTTTAAAAAAAACTAAAGACCAAATTTCGGCCATGTTTGTGTTCTTCTCTTTATTCAAACTAAACTAAATCAAAGCTACCCCCCCCCCCCCCCAAGCCTCTCTACATCAGTAATAATTGGACTCTATTTTATTAAGTACTTTCAAGTCAACGATGATTTCGGCCATTCATGCAACATTCCAGCTCGTAAACTATTGGCATTCATTTGTACCCAGTCGTTCACGCATGCACGCACGCACGCACACACGACCTGTCTCACTCACACACACGCGCGCGCGCGCACACACACGCACACACGCACACACATACACACACACACACACACACAAACACAACAAAGGCACGTGGACAGAAACACACGGATGGTCAACACGGATGGTCATTTATAATGTTTTACGATCCCATCTACACAATTATTTGTGGTTAGACTTTGGAGAGCGCCACTACTAGGACATGTTTATAATGTTGTTTTAAAAAAAATCTCTTTTCCTTTTATTTCTGTCTATATCGCTTTTCCCCTGCACTAGATGGTCGTCATGCTGTCGATGCGGTTCTGTTAACTCAAATTAATGAAGGGGGTTCATGTACACGTATTTAAATTAGTGAATACGGGACAAGGAAGAATTGGTAGAAGTTGGTGGTTTGAGGGAGCATTTGGTAGGTCCCATTTCTTGTCTGTCTGTCTGTCTGTCTGTCTGTCTGTCTGTCTGTCTGTCTGTCTGTCTGTCGTCTGTCTGTCTGTCTGTCTGTCCGTCCGTCTGGTGTCTCAGCTCTATAAATGGCCACTAGTGTCTCGATGTTTTTCGCTTCATACTCACATAAAAGTGAAGCAATTTCATATTTACACTGAGGTTCCCTGATTTTATCATAGTTTATGGGTCTGAGATAAGGCTGACCAAAGACAGCCCAGGTCTGTAACTGACAATGGGACAAAGGGTAAAATTTCGCTGAAGTCGAGATACAAGGTCAAAGTCCCAAATGGACATTATTCGCTATGTGTGGGTGGCTGGTGGGTGTTCTGGTCTCCTTTCCAATCTATCGTCCTTATATAAATTTGTCTTCCTTTTTTATTATTTTTTTTGTTACTTTCTTGACACTCTTGTAAACCTCTGATCAGAGAGTTTACAGTAATACTACTGTAAACCCTCTCTGCTCTGATCTTCGGAACTTGTGACCTTGTATACACATGTTGCAAGTGCCGTAAAACTCTTACTGAACTGAAACTAAAACGTCATGTGTGTTTGTTTGTGTGTGTTGGTGTGTAGGCCTCTGTGTGTGTTTGTGTGTGTATGCGTGTGTGTCTGTGTGCGTGTGTGTCTGTATGCGCGGGCATGTTTGTGTGTGTGTGTGTGTGTGTGTTTTGGGGGGGGGGGGGTTGCTTTTTTAAAACAAAAATTTTGTTTGAAGCATTGTTTTTACCAATGTTCCGGACTCTATCGGTCTGCAGAGTCAGCTATCACCCCCCGAGGCGGTGCCACTGACTGAAGTGTCTTCAGGCCATTCTCAAAAGGGGGGGGGGGGGGCATTTCTCGTTCTAATGAGCAGTACAGTTGTAAATGGGCTGATCCAGCAATGTCATGCTAATAACTTAAACTGTGCCTGAACCACCACAGGGAACTGCTGCTTTTTCTTTCCCAGTCCTCACTATCGTCATTTTCCTCTACTTCTTTCGTATGTTTGCCTATCTCTTGTGACCTTCTAGTTCCGGGGTGTCTTGATTGTTGAAGCTAGAGAGGTGAGCAGAGTAAGCCTGATTCCCTCTTAGGACTTCAGTTGACATCCACCCCTTGGCGCTCATATGACCTTATGCAGAGCGCCGTAAAACCTCTACTAAAGCAAACACAGAGTCAGCTAACAGAACTGGAACAGTAGTTAGACGACATGTGCGTGAGAGTTCCCGTTGTGTGTCGGAGAGAAGCGCTGTACTGTGCCTTTCTTTTGTCAATATTGTGTTTGTATGTTTGAGAGAGAGAGAGAGGGGAGGAGGGGGAGGGGGAGCAGGGAAAGAGAGAGAGGGTGGGGGGATGAAAGAGAGAGAGATGGGGGGTTAGAGAGGTGGGAAGGAGAAAGATGCGTTTGTCCCCTTTACGAACGGAACAGTAGTAGTAGTGGTAGTAGGAGTAGTAGAGTAGTAGCAGCAGCAGTTGTAGTAGTAGTAGTTGGAGTAATAGTATGTCAATTGGACAGTGGTGTGGATCGAGAATAATAATAAAATAGTATCTCGGTCTCTCTGCTGGGATATTGTATCCCTCTCGCTTAGCCTGGGTTAACCATGACAGGCAAGATCGCAGCCCGCCTCTTAAATCAAAATTATTGTCAATATTTTGTTAAGATTTTTGCTTAATTTAATTTTTTTTAAATTAATTCATTTATGATTTAGTATAGATTTGTGTATTTTTTATCTAATTTTTAGGGGAGGGGGGCGTAAGATAAACACCTACATACATTAAAAGTATGTGGGGGATAAAACGGCTGACCGCACCTGTTCTGTGGCGAATGTTTAATCTTTTCGGTTTCAATCTGACAATCTCCAACTGCCTGGTCCTACGGAGGTGAAAGGTGAATGTCCCGTTCTCTGGTCTTCGTGTGAAGGTCACGTGTCCACGTATTGCTTGTTGGACCATGGCATGGCTTTTTGTGACCGGTGTTCCGTTGGGTCCCTTCCCTAAAAAAAACACACACACAAAAAGAAAAAACAACGTCTGTTCCCTGCTCGCTGTGTGCCGCCTACTCTCTCTCTCTCTCTCTCTCTCTCTCTCTCTCTCTCTCTCTCTCTCTCTCTCTCTCTCTCTCTCTCTCTTTGTGTGTGTGCGTGTGCGAAGAGAGAGAGAATGAGAGAGTGTGTGTGTTGGTATGTGAGGACAGAGAGAGAGAGTGAATGTGTGTGTGTGTGTGTGAGGAGATAGAGAGAGAGAGAGTCAGTCTGATGGGGTGTGTGACGGTCATATTTCACTGGCACAACCCCCTCCCCCAACCATTCCTCCCTATCTCCGGCAGTTGGCCCAGATGTAGCCTCTCTGAACTCTCTCACTGCAGATCAACACGCAATGGACGTACGCATGATGGCATGGCAAGCTTTTACCCTCTCAAGGCCGTCATTCTATGGACAATGGCGAAAGAGACAAAACATTGTAGGCTACCTGTAGAAAGATTGTAATTTTCTTGCAAAGCACATAGAGGGACAGAGCCTACCGCGGATATTATAATGTGTACTATGTAATCTACATGTAATGTTGTTGTTGTTCTCTTCTTCTTTATATTATTATTATTATTATTATTTTTATTTTTATTATTATTATTATTCATTATTATTTTACAGGGTGGTTAAAAAAGAAACGCCAAAATCACCATGCGATGTTTAAAGAATGAAAAAAAAAAAAAAAAAAAAACAACCTCTAGATTGGACACATGTGTTGTCTTCAAGTTTTTGTGCCATGCTCTACACGTGCTCAATGTGGCAAACACCGGCAGACAGGACAACATCAAGCCTTTATGAGAATGCCTCCCAAATGCACCTCAGAATGCCTCAGGCCACAGTGTTTATTGCAGCTGTTATTAGATCTTTCATGCCATCGATATTAATTGCTGGAAGTGGTGGAACTTTACAGTTACTTTTCTGATCCAGCAGCCCCCCTGGGTTCTAGCCCTTCTGCCTGTCGATGTCGCAAAAAATTTACAGGTTTGTGCTTTGTCCCTGTATAAAGTATTTCCGATATCTGGGAAGGCAGGTAGGTGCTACACAGGTCGCTAAGTGCCCGGCAGGAAAAGAGATGGTGCGATACTGTTTCATCCTGGCAGCAGGGGCGGCTCGTGGGGCTAAAAAGTAGGCGTGCACAATTAAGCTATAGCAGGTTGAAGATAGTCAAGGGCATAGTAAATGGATTGTCGCTTTAATTTCTAGAACTAAATATATTTGTTAGCTAAACGTCAGTTTCTTCATCCTGCATTGGAACTGAACACTAAAGTAATAAATTTCACTACTCCTCTACGAAACCTTTCAAAGGCACAACTCACAAGACGCAGGACGGTGACTTAAGTATGTCACATTCACCTCCCTCGGGTTCACGGTCACTGGTCACAGAGTCGCTTAAAATAGTGGCAAGACAATGAGCCAATCACAATTCACTTGAGCACTCCGCTGAATTGCTCCGGGATCACATAATTTTGGCATAGAATAGTGTGCAGTCTATCATGTTTATTTTTAGTAATTTTAGACTGCCTACTGAGGGCTATGTTTTTTTGGGGCACATTTGAGATGTGCCGTCTTATTAATATTAATGTACCGACAAACTCTCTACGAGTGTCGTCATCATTTGGATTATCCCAAAGAGCGATTTATAGGTCAGGTTACCACTGTTGAATATCCTATTATGTTTAGTTAAAGCGCAGACTTTGGCATGGCATAGTATATGTTTTACAGCGCTTTTGACACAGAAAAGACAGTTAAGGCGCCAGCGACGACCTTGTTTTGAAATAATATTTGGCTGATGTTTGTTTCTGACTTCTTTTTTTTATGTTTTTGGATGCTTTTCGTAATAGAACATTAAAAAATTTTGGGTGGCACAGCCCGACCGTGCTCTATGGACAAACCGCGCCTGCCTGGCGGTCACACAGCGGGCAGTCAGGTGGGGTATCCTTGCGTATCCTATTTAGATAGATAGGAATTTAGTGGGATGAAGTGGTTTAACATAGACTGTGTCTTTAACATACCCCCACCAAAAAAATCACACACAGTGAGGTCCAGAGATCTGGCAGGCCAACTGCAGAAAGCGAGGTCATAAGCACCTCTCCTCTACCATTCCTACCAATCTACCACTGAGGCACGTTTTCATTCTGATGAGCTGGAACCCAGAGATGCTGATCGGGCGGTGTTCCATCTTGTTGGAAAATGAAGTTTTTCGAATCTGCGTGCAGTAAGGGGAATATATTCGTCTGGTGGGGGTATGTTAAAGACAAAGTTTATGTTCCACCACTTCCAGCAAATATCAATGACATGAAAGATTGAAGAACAGCTACATCCAGCACGGTGGCCTGAGACATCCTGAAGCGTGATCGGGTTTATGTTGTGCGTGCTGCCGGTGGTGGCTACATTGAGAACTTGCAAAACATGAAATAAAAATTTGAAGGTATGTACAACGCATGTGTCCAAGCTGGAGATTTCTATTGTTTTTCCTTTTTGAAATATCGTGTGATGATTTTGGCGTATTCTTTTTTAATCACCCTGTGTTATTATTATTATTATTTTTCAAAGTACAGATAAGAAAGCACTCTGCTCTAAGATGGACGCTACCCCCCCTCTTTCCCCCTCCTTTTCTTGTTCCCTAAATTGAAAGTGATTCTACCGTCATTCCCAGTTCCTGTACAATACATGCAGTTGGTTCAAAGATTCTTTCCTAAGTAGTAGAGAATCTTTGGTTGGCTTTCTCAGACACATGCCATTTATCCTACTGAAATACCTACAGACAATTACAGATTCTTACTGCAAGCACTCCCCATGGGTGCCCAGATTTGAAATGCGGGAGATAGCCCTGGTTCATAATCTCAGTGGGCCAATCTAGAATTTTTGTTGTTAATTAAAAGTTTTCTTTGCTATCCTCTCCCACCTGGTTTAATTCTAGAGCTATGCTTTTAAGAACCTAAATATAGTCGTACCACCCACTGGCATTTATGTCGAAGCAGGGCATTATATATATATATTGTGTGTGTGTGTGTGTGTGTGTGTGAGGCAGCGTGGTGGAATCAGGGTCTCTTCAAAATAATCATAGTGACGAGACTTGCATTTTTCCGCAGGTTTGTAAATGTTTATCAAATTTTTGTTTTTTGGCCCATCACCTTTCATACCCTTGAAAGAACTAATTTCTGTGTCGATTTTTCTTAAAAATGTTGATTAAAGTCTCAAAAAATGTAAATTTTCAGTTACCACGACTCTTAAGCTAAGGAAATAACTAAACTTTGGCGGCCATTTTCTCACCAATTTTACCTCTGACAACAGGTGACATCTACCTCCTTCATTCACAAATATCTCGACTTGTATTCAAGATAAATGGATATTTTTTTCATCCAAATAAAGACAAGTGAACAAGCTTTAGGATGCTACCAATAACCCTACATGCCCAAAAATTGACGAGAGCCTGATTCCACCACTCTGCCTCACACACATATATATTATACATTTTACTACCCAGGCGATCCCCTCCGTCCACCTAAATTCAAATCGCCCACTAGTGAACTGTATTATCCAGGTTGAAAGCGCTGTTCAGAAGGATGCGGACAGTGAATTTAGAGGTCCTGCCTTTAAAGTATTTTGTCAGTTTTGAAACAAGCTTTATAATAAACCTTACATGTTTAATTTGTCATGCCACTCCGTATCTTATGTTGATTTTATAGTCATGCTTACACACTGTCCATCTCCCACAGTTTACATGAAGTTTGTGCACCGGGAAGGGAATGAGGTGCACACATGCTATGTGGCTGACTACTTTGGTGATGTGGGCGTCATGGAAGGTAAACGCACCCTTTACTCTTTGCTACCCCAGAATTACAAAATTCTATTTGCTCAGTACCTGGTTTTGAGAAATTTGACATTAAAAATGTTGCGTTTCACAATAAGTGTCAAGCTTGTGCAAGTGCAGTTCTTTGAATACCTTGATAAGGACTCCTAATAATCTTATGATTTTTGTAGAGCAGATAGAACATTTTGGTTTCTGACCTCATGGTCTAAGTAACACATAAAAATGTCAGATATAACTTTGCAATTCTAAGGTAGTGTTTTTATCTTATCAACTCTTAAAATTCGGTGAACCAGTTCAGCTGGTGTACAGCATTGCTCTGTCATAGCAAAAATCTACAAACCCCCAGCACTAAAATAAAACTGTAGGCCTATATTATATATGCATTGCACGGATCATTCATTTCTTCTCAGGTTGGCGTTTATTTTATGCAAATAGGTTAAATTGGAGCAGAGTTAATTATAGTGTAGGGAAGTTTGCAGGGCCGAAAAATTGGATGATAGAATGGGCTGCGCTCAAAGGTGGAATAATCCATCCTTCTATATACATGTACTCAGAGTTAACCTAGAGTATTACTTTTAGAGGGGAAAATAAGAAAACTTAACTAAGTTTGTCTTGCAGTGTGATATTTTTAGTATGAAGATAAGTTTTATGAAGTAGTTATTTTACCTTGAGCCCTCAAGATTGATAAGTTGTCATTTTATTTTTCTCCCATGTTCCCAGTATAACTGACAATTTCTGTCTTTATTTTTCTCCCATGTTCCCAGTATAACTGACAGTTTCTTTCTTTATTTTACTCCCAAACACTGTATGTTAAAATATATGAAGTTTCCCTCCCAGATATGTAAATTTGTATGCCATGAATCAGTGTTGTTGCCAAATTGTTAAAGTTTATTATAAAAGCCAACATTATTTCTATGAGTATGTCATTTTATGAGACAAAATTGAATTGGTTTTTTTTGGTACCCTACATGTATCTAGTCAATGCAATGTTCCCAAAAATTGTGCAAATGACAGAACAGAGCAATGAACTTTAGTTTCAGAGTTCTGTTGTCCTGTTTGTTTGCATAGATTACTATTTATAGTATAATCGTACTATGTGTGAGACATGGTGTAATCAGGCGCTCGACAAAATAATGAAGTCAAAGAAAACAGCTTTTTTCTGCAAGTTTGGCAATTTTTTGGGAACTTTGTGTTTTCTACTCATTATCCTTTATGTCCATTTAATAACACATTTTTGTGTTGATAAAACTGAAAACAGTGATTTAAGGCACACAAATATAAATTTTTCCTTTTTCCAAGGACTCACAAGCTATGGAAGTCACCACGCTTTGGTCGCCGTTTTCTCGTTAATTTTATAATGAAACCGGGCAATCCCCAGGTCCTTCAATCGCAAATATTATCTCGACTCCTGTTTAAGATAGATATGGGTATTTTTTTCATTGAAAGTAAGACAAATGAACACGCTTTAAGTTGATACCAATAACTCCACGAGCCCCACAATTGTCAAGCACCTGATTCCACTATGTTGTGACACATATGTACATGCTCTTTCATGAAATTATATGTGAAGCAGCGTTCTGAAATCAGGCGCCGGTCAAAATAATGAAAGTCAAGAAACTGGCATTTTTCAGCAGATATATCAATTTTTATTTGATTTATGTTTTTTGGCTTTCATGCCCTTTAAAAACACATTTCTGTGTGAATTTTACTGAAAAACATTGATCAAAGGCATAAAAGATGTAAATTTCTGTTCCCACAGACTCTCAAGCTAAGGAAATAACTCAACTTCGGTGGCCATTTTCTCGCTAATCTTACCTCTGAAACCACCTCCTTCAATCGCTAATATCTTTACTTGTACCCAAGATAAAAGGATAATTTATTTATCAAAAGCAAGGCAAATGGACAGGCTTTAAGATGATACCAGTAATTCCATATGCCCCAAAATTGTCAAGCACCTGATTCCTCTATGCCGTGACACATATGTACATACTTTTTCATCACATGTGTACATGCTTTTTCATAAAATTATAATATTGTCTGTGACCAAAGTGTGACTTCAAAAATAGATTTTAAATTCCCTGGCTTGCCTGGCAATTCATAGCAAATTAATTCTGACTGTGACTTTGTTCCCTTTCTTCCCCTGTAGGTCCCACGCCAGGCCGTATCCAGGAGCTGGAGACTCAAGACAGGGAAAAAGCAGCAGCCATTGAGACCACTGTCAATCAGATATTCAAGACCAATAATGTGAGAGAAGAAAGAAGGAGAGGGAAAAGGAGGGAGAGGGAAAAGGAGGGAGAGAGAGAGATTTGTATAATAACTATTGTATTCAGTACACCTGATTTCATATATCTATAATGTCTTTTAAGCATTGCAATTCTACATGATAGTCAGATTCTTAGTACAGTGAATGGTAGTTTCGGTAAAGTACTCTTTTCTGCTCTCTTTACAGTAACGATATTATATAGCTTTCATTACCTTGCTCTCAATGGCAGGATTACTGTGAAAGTAAAGTTGTTCCCGCATCCCATCCGGACATTGGGTATTGCCTTGTTACTGTACCTGTTCAAAATGTTCGCCACTCCCTGTCGCAATAGAACCATGCTGGTCTGGTTTGTGTATATATATGAATTGATAAGTAATTCCCCAACCCCCATCTCTTTCCCCAAATGTTTATTTATCTTTGAAATAATGTGGAGTCAAGCTTAAATCAAATTATTAATCCAAAAACAGCAACAAACCGAAAGATAATAAAATTTCCCTTTTCTCTATTTGAGCGAACTCTCTAAACCAAAAACCTAGTTAAACCAAAGAAACTCAGGCAGCCACACCGATTTCTGTGTTTGTGTGCAAGAAAGAGGGAGATTTGTGTTTAAGTTTAAGCAGGCTTTCGTACTATAATGCCGATTTCTTGCAATTTCCTCCACCAGATCAATGGCACGTTCGAGCGTTTAGTGGCTAGGGAAGTCTGGCACAAAATCCTGGAGCACGCTCAGGCTGTCAAGGCCAACATGATTGTGATGGGATCACGCGGCATGGGCAAGGTCAGGCGCACCATCCTAGGCTCGGTCAGCGACAGCGTCCTCCACCACGCGCACATTCCCGTCTTGATCTGCAAGCACCCGGACGAACAGCAGCACAAATAGAGAGAAGAGGGCTTACCTTTTTAGATGCTGATTAGACGGAAATTAGAACTCCATAAAGTTGATTATCTTTTGCCTTGTTTCTTTCTCCCTTTCTCCACCAATAAAACCTAAATAGCAATTAATTGTTGTGTTTCGCACCTGTGTTCAATACTGTTGTTATGGTTCTATATTTTAAGTTTTTAGTACCCCAGAAAGCCATTGAACTTTTTTCTTTTCTTGTCTTTTGTTCTGTCTTTTATTTATTTTCTTTCTTTTTTTAATAACAAATTTCTACACTTTTTTCAGTTGAAGTTCTTTATTTTTCAGAGCAATTTACCAGATAATTTAGAAGCCTGGAAGCGATTCTATTCTGTTTCATCAGTTAATTTTGATACTGTTTTCATTACCAATTCCATTTGAAATTTATCACTCTTGTGATAAATTCATATCAGAAATCAGAACACATCTTACCAAAAGTAAAGTTTGTTCATTATAATAACTGGTCCGACTGAAATATTATCTTCCACTTATTGTTAATTAATGCATATTTTGCTCAAGGCCATGCTCTGTCAATTACACAGTCATGATTTTATTCCCTCAATAGTCTGTTGTACAACTCTTTATCCTTTGGATCTTTATAGAATAAGCAAATTAAAGATTTTTGTTTCTTTAGATTAAAGCTGCAGTTTTATTTGTTTTCACTGTGGGGAGGCTGGAATATCATGTTCAGTTTGCTCTCAATGTGTTATGTCAACATTTAAAAAATGTCTTTTTGCTCTACTCGATTGCATTGCTCTCTGAAGTCACTCTTTCTTTAATCGTTTTTGAGAGTAGATATGTCTTTATATAGTGTACTTTTTCTGTCTATTGCCCCGTAGAACTTTACAGATCTTTTTATTGTTGAATAGCTGCTGAGAGCAGATCTACAGAGATGGACGTAGCTTTTGTACTTTACTGCTTATTGTTCAGTAGAGCTTTGCATTTATGTCATGTAAAACTGTTGCAGAGGAGAATACTCTTTTTTCGCTTATCATAAGTAGATCTCATTGTCACAGCTGAACATCTGTAAGATTTTATTGTCACTCGTTTACATAACATGTAAGTTATTTTTTGTTCCATTTATAATAGTAATTGTTTTCATTCTATGCCTTGCCCCAGTGCAGCTAAATGATCAGTGTATTTTGTAGATTTATTTTTAAAACGCTATGCTTTGGAAATATAACATGTCAGCCATAAGATGATGCTTGATAATAAGTTTAAAGAAAGACCTTGTCATTAATTGTTTCTTATATTTCATTGACTACAATAATTTTCAATAATGTGGACTTTGTGGCAATTCTTTTACACCATTTTTTCAGGAACTGTTTTTTATCTATTAATGACTTTAAAATAATCATAATGACTTTTCTAAATAATGCATTGCTGTAAGTTGATGGTCGTGAAATTAAAGTGAAAGCAGTTGTGATCAAAATCAAAAGATTTTTTGTTATAAATCAAATATGTATCAATCTACATATCGACTTATGTGATGACATTTATAGTTTCCATTCAACAGTTTTGTGTTTATTGGTTTTGCAATCATAACTCACTGGACACAACATGTTTGCCTGAAAGTCTTGATTATAACAGACAATGTCCAGTTGACAGTTCTAGTACCTTGTACATTTTCTTGAACAATGAATGTATAAATAGACTTGGCTGGTTTGAAACCATGTCAGATTAAGGTAGTTCTGAAGTTGCATTTCGTCGCCTTTGTGATAAGATCAGGTGAGAGACTTTTTAAAATTTTTCAGGAGAAAGAAAAAATGTATTTTTATGAAGAGGATGGCTTTGAGTTATCTGATTTTCATAATGTTCTATTCAAAATGGGAGTTTTTTCTCCTAGATCAAGAAGGCTTTCAGATTATACCAATAAGTCTATGACGAGGGCCAATTCTTCCGTGTCGTGACACATATTGTAGTCTTCAATATTTTTTATTCTTTAGCCAACAGATTATTTAAAATCTCATCTTTATTACCGGCCAATACGTTTATCTCAGTATGATCTGTAGACGTCATATTTATCTCATTCTTTTATCCATATCTGTGAGATCTGACTTTCAAAAGTGATGTCCAGAATTCAGAAGCTATCTGATTCCACAGGATTTTGAGAATTCAGAAATGATCTGATTCCACTGGACCTTGTTCCTTGTGTATTTAACCAGAAAATTAATATATATATTCATACAATATATTATATTATGTTTCTGAAGAATGTGATACTAAGCATCTTTTTCTTGTCAAACTTAGTTCTGTGCTACTTGATCGTTTTGTAGAAAGGACAATTGGTACTCTGATCCTGAAAAATTTATGTGGATATTCGCATGTTTAAAACCCAACTGTGTCATCTGTATTTTTATCAAAACATGTGGGGGGTTTTTACCAGTCTTTAATGGACATTTGTGCCAAGTGTTGAATAAAGTCTTTACTTTAAGAGCAATTGGTATCCTACTGGACTATGAAATGGACGACTCAGGGTCATATCCTAGTTGAGAATTCTTGAACTTGGGGTTGTTTGGGGAGTTCTTAAGGTGCTGTCCATCTTCTTGACTCTGTCCTATCAGAGTTGACATTGGACTGGGAGGTCCTGTTTCCCAAAAATTACCCTACAAAGCAGAAAGCACTGTTAAAACCATACTGTATGATACTTTTACCTCCAATTTTAAATCTTTTCCTCTGCTGCCTTTCTCCCACCATGAGGAAGCATGTGGACCTAGCTGGTTTGACCTATATGTACTCACATTTTTATTGAAACAATAAATTTTGTATTCCAAATACTTGAGTGCTTTGTTTCTGTCTTCATTGGGACATACTGTTTATTGTTACACTGATCTGCACTGATCCACGATTGAGGCATGTCTTGCAGGCCAGGCTCCTCCTGAATTTGTGAAAATGTACGAAGTTCCTGCAAAGGGCGTAAGTGATGTATTCAAACTTTGAAATGTGAGACGTCATGATGAAATCAGTCGCTCGTCAAAATAATGAAATTGAAGAAGTCGGCATTCTTCCACTGGTTTGGAAATTTTAATTGAAATTTTGCTTTTTGGCTAAACAGCTTTATGTCCTTAGCATTACCACATTTCTGTGTGGATTTTAAGGAAGAACATTGTGATTACAGGCTAAGAAAATGTAAATTTCCCGTTTTCAAGGACATACAGTGGAAACCTGATATAACAGGGATGGTGGGAGTAGAGAAAAAGTCCCGTTATATCCGATCCCAGTTAAATCCGAAATGCAAGGAAAGTGAGCATTTATTGTGGACTAATCTAGCTGTACTTATTCATGGGTAGTTTCCCTAGCCACAAGTACCCACGAACAGGGGTTTTGGCACCAACTTTCTCCTTGCCTCCTTAAACCACATCAGAAGAGCTTGGTCCGCAGCATCTGCATCGGGTAGTCTCTTCTTCTTTCGATCCAGAGCGAACTTTCCATTGGAGTATGCTGCCACTATCTTCTCTCTATCCTTGATAATGGTGTGAATCGACCCTTGTGAAATGTCGAACTGACGACAAATCTCTGTCAGTGGAGCTTGCTTTTTGTCATCAGTCTGGATTATTTCGTATTTTTTGTCAATTGAAAGGCTTGACATCGTTGGTGACATAATGAAAGAAGTAGGCTTAGATCTAGGCCGACCGGTCGTCCTCTCTCTCTCTCTCTCTCTCTTATTTTTAACATATTGTTAACGAGCCTTTGTCTCTGCTATAACTGGTTGGGCTCCGATGAGGCCCTGCTATTGCCGATAACATTTAATAGAGACAAAGAGTAGGAAAAAACGGGAATTTTAAACATCCCTGTTATTACCTGATCCCTGTTATTACCGGGCCTGTTATATATGGTTTCCACTGTACAAGCTTTGCAAAAGTCTCCAAACTTTGGCTGCCATTTTCTCGCTAATTTTACTTCTGAAATCAGGCGAACCCCCACCTGTTTCAATCACAAATATCTGCACTTCTATTCAAGATAGATGTGTAATTTTTTCATCAAAGGCTAGGCAAATGTTCAAACTTTAAGATTCTTCCAATAACTGTGTATGCCCAGAAATTGACCAGAAACTTCAACCGCGTCGCAACACAAATATAATTATATCATCACTGTTGCAAGAAAAAAGAGGGATATCACTTTTTTGGGGGGCCTCACCCTGTAAAATAGAGTTTGATGGAGTTTGTCGTTGTTCTTGCGAAAGTGAAGATAAATAACATACCAGTACATGGAATGCCCATCTCACAGAACAGTATCGTCTAACATAATCTTCTCTTTGAATGCTACATGATCTCCGATGGCAACTTCTTCCTCTGGTCCCTACCACAGACATTACCCTATACTACAGCAAAGAGGAACTTATAAAGACCTCCACCATTTTTAACATGACATTTGGCAGAGGTCAAACATTTGATTAGGTGTTACTAGAGAGTAACGTATGAAGAAAAGAAAGAGGAGAGATAAAGATAATAATACATGTTAGGAGAAGCAAACCACACTGGAGCACCCACCAACCATCCACAGGCTACTGGATTAACAATGACAACAACAACATGGTTTGTTTATCAATAGAACTAAGTTCACAGTAAAACTTAAGTGTGGGTATATAAATAAACATAAATATGATGTCCAGACGTCTTCAACAACAGCTGTAGGTCAGACATGTTATTGCAAAATTAGACTTCATTAAAATTATAAAAAGTACTGTAGTGGAATGATAGTTTAAATGTCCCAGTAGATATGATGAGTAATACAACAGAAAGAATATCTTCTCTTTACCGAGGCTACAGTTGTTAACTTTGTTGGTACAAAGATGTGCTTTCCTCAGCCTCACAATATGATCTACAGTTTGTAGTGAAATTTCTATTCAAAAACATATCTCGGGAAAAAAAAACAACTTATTAACATGGTAAGACTTTTTAGTTGGTATACAAGGGTATAAATTTGACCAAATCTAATTTCAAAATGGTTTCGTGAAACCCTCATTGTGGGGTGAAATGGTGTTTTAAGGCAGGACCTTTTAGTTTTAGATCTGGGGAAAAATACATTGGCTAAAGTCTCCAATATAAAAATATAGGCTATGGTATTATATAAATGTAGATCTATGCAAATGTAGACAACTAGGATGAAGACGCTAAAGACAGGACACATTAACTTCACGTAGCTCAGAGTGAATGATGGGATGTTTCTCTCTCCTTGGAAAGTGACATCAGTCCAAAAATTTTGTTTTGGAAAGATGTAATAAGATGGTAAGATAACGCCCCTGACTGGTAGGCCGAAATCTTTTCCTTTCCTCTTCTGTTTCTGTCTATCTTGTTTTTTCCCTGCACTAAATGACCAACGTTGTGCAAATGTGGTTCCCTGTGTACTTGCTTTAGACAGAAAGAGTATATCTGTTGAAGAAAACAATTTGGGACAAAAAAAATCTGTTCACTATGTCCGTGCATGCTAGGCTATATTTCGTAACTTTAAGTGTGCTTGAGAGACTTACACTCTATGCCATGCTATCAAGACTTTTTTTTTGCTTCAGTTCAGCAATGTGTCCCTTTTCATTGATATGTCAGATACTAGAGCATCCGATAGCCCAAAAAAGCAGGGAAATCACATGCCTCAAAGTATGTCATCATGTGTCATTGCTGATATGATTACCTTATGAACAGAGACAGAAGGACACTCGTATGAGCTCTGTTCTTTCCCCTTCCACTTCTTTTTGGTATCTCTGATCTGTTTTGTACCACGGGGAAATGACCGTTGTCACTTTTGCTATTCAAACTGTTCACATAAACAACAGTTCAACACCAACAACAGCTGCTACTCATGTAATAGGTAATGATAATAGATTCCATATATACAGCACATATCTCTACATATCTGTTTTATTATTTGTTATATTCCTCACCCTGCAATAGAAAGTATAGCTCTATATATAGCTGACTTGCTGATTAATTTAGCATGTCTCGAGACTATTTTAAATTTAGACTGCATGCAAGCAAAGCAAAAATTAATTGTATAGGTCTACATCTGGCTAGATTGGTCAAATTTTGAGCACGAGATTCATCTTCTGGAAAGGAAATCCTTGTCCCTCCTGTGGGAATCAATGAAGAACACCTTCCTACAGACTGATTTTAAAAATAAGGTAAAAAAACAACAGTCAGCGGGAGGAACAATAAATGAAGAAAGAAAAATAAATTCCACAATATAATGCCTAAATTGGGTCCACAAAAACCTTCCAGTCTCTCCAGAAGAAACTAAGTTATTTTAATAAAATTACAGATTGGACATACCTCCCAAACACATCGATTTCTCCTGCTGGGAGATGAAAGATCTTTTTCTGTCAGATGCTATACCATCCTAAAGATCAGTGACATCCTAGTGGAATGTCTCGACTTCGGAGAGACCCAAAGGAAATATCTTTAAAATGCTCTTATTTGAAGAATTTCGTTCATTGTTGACCCCAAGAGAGTTCTCGATTTTAGAGAGACCATTGGTCTTTACTCAAAGATGAAGATAGTACTATTTAAAAAATATAAACTACTGTTTTCAAAAACTGAATATCTGAAGTGACATTTTTAACTTAACTCATTCGCTACGCCGAGCCGTGGGGGGCGGCGCGGCTCAAGTGCCGTCAGTACGCTAAGCCGCCCCCGGCGGCTCGAGAACCGAAGTTCAATTTTAGCTTGGTTTCTATTCCAATCCACATATCCATGTTAAAATAAAGGTCATAATATAATGTTGACTTCCGGGTCAAGCGTTTCCACCAAAAATCGGAAGTTTTGATTCAGTTTTGAAACATGATTTCGTAGTTTATTCGACTTTGTTTTATCGCGAAGCCCAAATTATAGCCCAGACCCCAGTCTTAGTACTTTTACACAACAATATGTATCATTATTTTGCTCACTAAAGAAGTGTAGGACTCTTTTTTATAATATGATACTATTGGACACAAATTGCCGGTGCATGTAATTGAGAAATCAATATTTTTGAGTGCTGAATCTAGGCCTAGATCTAAATAGTCAAAATATTTTTTTCTCCCCAAAATCACTACTTTTGGGTGAAATTAATTTTAAAAAGTACCACTCAAGACATGTATAGGTTTATTCCAAATGCAATTCTGAATAATTCCATATAAGTTACACATATTTTTTTCTGTCTGTGATCCTTTTTTCAAAGTTATTTTAAAAAAATTTTTTTTTTCAATATCGGATGTTATGATCCAAATGTACAAATATTATGGAATGAATGTAAATAACTGCACATTTTTCAATATTTTCCTGTTCTATATACAGTTATGGTTATTTTGAGGTATCATTTGACTAGGTACAAACATATTTTTGTAGTTTCACCTGAGATTATAAATTTTTTATTTTCCAATTTTATCCGCATCCAATCACAATTGTGTTGCATAATCGCCTCTTACAGGAACCAAAGTTGAAAAATACGCAAATAAATAATGCTGATGTATTCTACAAACCATACTGAAAATGTTGGTATATAATAATATGTTGACATTTATTTGAATTTATGGCCCCAAAGACCTGTGAACTGCGCACTAGTCATCATCTCATTTCGCTCTCCCGAAAAGAATTCGTCCACAATCCGAAAATAATACGTAGCGAATGAGTTAAACAATTCCAACTTTATAAAAGCAAACTGTGCTGCAAACTAACGGTGAAAACAATTAAATCAAGTACCATGCACTCATATGAGCTTATGCACAAATCTCTTTCTCACTCTTACAAAGCTGAACTGAAAAAATTCATCAGTAATCCCTATTTTTAATTTGAAGACATTTTCAAAATGTTAAAAAAACTCGAGGGTTTTGTTTTACCTCATCACATTTGTAGACAGAAAAGAGATTTACACTTCCCTTAGTAGTCATGTTACATTTATGATTAAAATGAAACCAATAAGGCGCTCCAAAAACAAAATGAACAAGCTAAAAGCAAAAAGTCATATATGTATTAATAAAACAACCAAACTCTTGCAAATCAGTTAAAAGCCAACTTAATTATACCTACACAAGCAATCAATAAACGCATGATTTATCAGACACTCAACTACATATTCACAGCATTCATAAAATATCCTGTGGTATCCTGTGCTATGACCCTGGTTTGATGAGGATGTAACCTGACTTTTTCTGTGGCTTGTAACTGAGAAGCTGAGCATAGCGTTGTAGAAGCTTTGACCAATAGCAGGTGATGTCGTCCATACGGAGGTGGTCCACGATGAATTGGCGACCTCTGCCATTGAAAAGGATATGATAAAAAATAAAATGAATGAAAATGTATGTTATACCGTGGCTTCATAATCGTGAGGTTGCGGGTTCAGGAGTTTGAGCCGTAAGCTCAACAATGTGTCCTTGGGAAAGGCACTTTACACAAATTTTCCTCACTTCACCCTGGTGGGAATGGGTACCCAGCTATAGACAGCAAAAGATCTTGTCAGTACAGTAGAACTCGGATTCAACGAGAACTCGGATTCAACGAGATGAGATAGATTCCCCATTTTTTTTTCTTCTTTAAAATCAATAAAAATAACCCGGATTCGACGAGCACTTAAACCAGCGAGCTCGGATTCAGCAAGGTCGCTTCTCGAGTGAACAGCCCCCGCAGACGTGGCTTCCTTATTTTTCTCCCAGAACGAACGTTATCTACCCGAAAACCATCCATTGCACCTGCATCGCGAACCATTATTCACTTAGCCGATAGCATGCGACCAATCAGAGGCCTTTTTAAATACCAACACATGCTTTGTTGGCACGCGCACGAGTCTACTCTAGCGTGTGTCGGGGTCAGATGGGCGGCCCCCACACGTGTGGCTGTGAGTGAGTGTCGGGGAGGGGGGTTGGGGGCACTAGCGGCCCGAGCGTTGAACGTCGCAGATACAAACGTGTCAGTCTTTTTCTTCCCCTCGGCAACTGATCATTAATACTACAATGATAAGCTAGTCTTGATGTAGATCTACGAAATGAATTGTGCGCTGGTCTATGGAATAAAAAATTGGCGTAAGCTAGGCTCTACACTACACAACAACACAACTTTTTGGTAAACAATCGAGATGACACAAGCGTGTGCATTTGAACGAATCGGTCTTTTTTTTACACAGCTTATAATATGCAGGCATTTCAGGCACTACTTGTGACTTCTCTTTATACATTACTTGCTCAGTGCCTGTAATGATCTACACAAAACCTTGAGTTTGCTATAACGAACACTCGGATTCAATGAGATTTTAGGTCAGGTCTGGCGACCTCGTTGAATCCGAGTTCCACTGTATTTTAGTGTTTTAGCGCCTATAAATGGCCGCTTGCACTGTATGCTTCCCAGGAAGTTGAGGTTGTTTCAGAATGCTCTCAGGTCCGCTGGGGTAATAGTATAGATTGTGAAGCGCATAGAGCTTGCTGTTGAGAGGGGACTTGCACTATATAAATGCTATGTATCATTATTATACCGTCAAACTGCTACAAAAACGGCCCAAGTCAGACTAAAGCATATATATAATTAAAATGACCCTCCTTGGCATTTTTTATACGGTGGCATACTACTTCATCATTAAATGGTACAAACTGAATTAAAAGATGTATTTTTGTGTTTTGGGGGGTTTTTTTGCAACACAACTAAATGTTACCAATGCAAATCACATTTATAGAAACCATCTTCTTGCCAATCTCTTTTATGCTTTCTGGGCTTCTTCAGTTCATTTGATCATTTCTATTCCATCCATAAGAATTAAAATGTAATTTAAAAAATAAAAAACAAAACCAAGACAATATAACAATGTCAGTCAAATACAATATATCCCTTTGCCCTTTCTTGAAATCGTGATTTTCAATAAGTAATCTTACATGAATAAGAAATAGTGCTTCAAGAAACCTGATAGATTAAGTTTTACTAAACACACACTTTCAAAACAGACAACAGGATACCCACCGGTCAGCTATGCCTTTCACAACCTCCTGGTTTTCTTTTGCAAATATGAACAAATCTCTGTGGGAAAGATAAAAAAATCAAAATGTCCAAAGACAGAATGGCAACAAATTATCAAAAATAAAAGCATGAGTTGTCATCATCATCATCGTTGCAATCATCTCTGTAAGTAATCAGCCCTTATAAGAAAATATAAAAAAATTGGGTGGAGACTTGGAGCAAATGAAGTTTTATGACATTATAAAATCATTATAATCTTCTCTATCGCCTTGACAATTCAGTCCTCTTCCTACCAACATGTTCAACAGACAGAAAGCAAGAATGAAGAAAGCTTGAGTCATAACTTTTAACCATCTTCAGTATCAGCATATAGCTAAAAATATATTACTGTCAAAATCATTAGGTCATTTCCCCCCATCTCTAAATTGAAAAGACCCCTATAGTATATTAAGCTGAACCCAGCATAGAGAAATTCAAGCAATAACTTCAACTACAATTTACTTACAGTACAAGCTGATTTTCAAACCTCCAAAATAATAGAACAAAAAAAGAATGGGAAGCAGAATATCAAATCTATTCCTGGGGAAGTTGGGTGCATGATATCAGGCTTAGCTGCAATTCGGATGACCCTCGTTTGAATCCCCAGTGGGGTATTCCTGAACTTCTTTTGTACTCATAGTTTTCCAGGCTGGCCACTGAGTTGGCTTGGTACAATTGGTGACAAAAAGTAACTTTGAAGGTTCTGCCTCATGACTTTACAATACAGTATTGAAACGGAACTAAAACCACATCACACTATGAGAAGCTAGAAAAAATGTGATTACAGTAGAACCCAGTCTTTAGGAGAGTTGCAATGAATAAAAGAAAAAATAAAAAAAAATCAGGGATTGGAAATCCTTTCATGGTAACAGAAATTTTGTGTTTAACTTAAACAACTTTGTTCCAAAACAAAATCTACTGCTCTTTCGGAAGTCCTTATGTTTTAAGAATTGTTTGACATTATTGTGAGAAGAAACAAAGAAAAAAAAAAGACAAAACTCTGCCTTACCTTCCTTCTGTAAGCTTCGTGCTTACAGGGATGTAGTGGACCCAAGGTTTGAGAGCTGGGTAGAAAAACTCAAGCCACTCATTGCCCACATGGAAGACTGTAGAGTTGCACAAGAACAAGTGCTTCAGGCGGAAACTCGCGGCCACACCCCTGAAGTTATACAGGTACCTGTGCATGTGGAGAAAAATTATTGATCTTTAACTGAACAATACATGTAGATGTTTGATAGTGCTTTGTCCTGCATTTTACTCAAATTCTACAAATCCGTTTAACCAGAGGTTCTACCGCCACAGACTTAAGTGGTTATAAATGTTTCATGCCTTTATTGACTCAAATTAACATACTTATGGTCTATACGGTATACATTAACAATATGAATCATTTCTAAAGCAAAGTCAGCAAAATACCCCAGCTCACCTGTATTTGCAATGGTCTTCCAGCTTCACTTCTTCTGCAGGGGCTGCATACAAAGTGTCCTGGAAGACATTAAAAATACGATTTTTTTTTTTTAAATGAGACGAATTGACCATTATTATTACAAAATGATAACTTCAAATTGCAAGCTGTCAAAAACTTTCACAAACACAACCAACAGATCTCCAGCATGCATTCTTGTATTGTAATCAGTCAGGTATATCTTTTATGTTTAGAAAAGTTGATCAGAGTCAAGGCTGGAATCCATCAGCGGAGTAAAGAAGACACTGAGCTCCTGTGAGAATATCATGGGTAAAAAGCTATTCCACCCTTTCACTGCATGGCCTATTCCACAGTTCTACTAAAGAGCCCAACACAGTTTTGGGCCTGACAATGAAGGGATTCTTTTTTTCATGCCTTTTTAGATTTTAACATCCTTACAGCATTTTACTTTTAAAAAGACAACACAATTTAAAAGAAGAAAAAAAATTAGATTAAAAATGTCAATGGCAGTGCAAAAAATGTACATAAAATATACAAGATAGCGCATGAAAATATCCATTAAAAAATCACAAAGGCAGCAAGAGAAGCACAAAGAAAAATTGCAAAGGTAACTGCTTTTATCAAAATGAGCTGAGACTCAACTATACCAATACACCAATACAAATATTCCTTCACCTCTTCTGACTTCCAAGCCTGGTTCTTAGTGTACTGGGCATCTACCAAGTCCGGCTCTTTCCTGGACAGAAGCACCAATGGATCTCGTTCATAACTGGTCCGAGAGCCACGGAAAAATCCTTTGTTTTCTTTCTTGTCCCATGGCCATTCTGCTGCTTTTCTAGAAAAGAGAAATCCCAAACTTTACACATGCATTAGGAATAGTTTGAGAACAAAGAAATCAAATAAAAAGTAGTCAGTGCAATATTTTTCAACAGAAGCATCTGGTTTGAGTTTTTTAAAAATGAAATAAAGAAACCACTGATGAAGACAAAACGGATGTCATTCAAACATAAAACATTATTTGACCCAGTCAATTTTGCACACAAGGGTGCTTACACAAGAGCTGATAAAAAAGAGTGTGATGAAAACAACATGCATGCAGTATCAGTATGGGATCAAATTCAGATGGCTAAGACAGCATATTACGCCTTGGAAAAAATTCCTTAATGTCATTGCGGCCCACTAAAAAGTAGCAAAGCTATATATATTTCAAAACATTTGAGACATCAACAATACAAAAAAAATATCTAGACTCAACAATGTCTGCCGCATTATTAAAATATATAGAGAGTCCATGTTCCTCACTGAATACAGTAGAACATGGCTAGAGCGGGACTTTTGGTTCCAGAAGAAAAATCTCGTTATACGAAAGCAAAGGGGAATTACCACAAAAAATGTCAATGCACATGCTTACCTCCCTTCCATATCAATAAAATTTGCGCCTTAGCTTAGTCTTCCTTTACTTATCAACTTTGTAGATTATCTTGGCCTTTAATTCGAGTGAGAAGCATCTTTCTGTCTTTGTTGGAAGCCATCTTTTCCTCGGTCTTGTTGCTTGTGCTGTCTATCGTACCAGTAGGCCTACTGTAGAACTGGTGAAGTGGATGCGTGCGTACGCCTGAGCATCAATCATCTAAATTCAATGCTCTTCTCTTCTTTTACTTTTTGGCCTAGCCTAGGCCTAGGGCTAGGCCTATCGATGACTCAGAACCATTTTGTCCAAAGTGTGCTTAAGTAAAAAGGCACTTTGGACAAAATAGTTAAAAGGCGACACTATGGCACATCATTTTTGGAATGGCTCATGTAACGCGTCTCTCCGCACTATAGATCCTGTCTCTGCTGTCTGCTCCACCTCATTCACCACCGAAGAGGACAATCACAGCGCTGCACCACTGACTGCGTGTTTGGAGCCTACCTACAACCCCCCAACCCCCTCCTCTCCTGCTGTATCCATGTTTGGGATTTTCCTTGCCCCGTTATGCCAAAGCACAGGCAATTGAGTTTACATAGATAGCAAAAAAGGGAATCCAATGAGGTCCTGCTGTAGGATGGTCCCGCTGCAGCGGGTGCCGCTATAGCCATGTTCTAGGGTATAGTTAAAATTGCTGAAATCACATCAAAATGTAGAATCTATTTCAGGACTCTATTTCACCTGCGATTATGTGATGTCCCAGTAAGGACGGCTGAGTGTTGGTTTCAATTTAACAATAGTGTAGAGAAAAGATTGACCATTATCTAAAGAATAGAGGCTATAACAAGTGACCAGCAAGAGCAATAGATCTCACTGTGACAATAGAGGACCAATTATTGTTTCTCAAGCATAAAAAGCAAACCATCCCTGTTGTAGTCTAACCGTATAAACACCAAACATTTTTTATTCGCTTAAAAGGTAAAGAAATGTCTCTTACACAAGTTGGCATTATTTAGAGAGACGCTTAAGCTTCGCCATGACACAAAAATCACACTTTTAGAAGAGCACTGAATATAGCACACTTGTTTTTTTGTCTCTTCTGAAAAATTTACCAGTACGCACTTGTATGGTTAGACTACAACAGGGATGAAATGAAAGCAAGATAACTTACTTTGATATTATGTCTCGCTGTAGGTCCCAGCGCCCTAAACCAGTCGGGTAAATGGGCCAAACAGCTGGGCCTCCCTCCCAGAACGTCCAGGCTGGATACATGATGTCCCAATGGTGTGCGGCCTACATACAGAATGATGTAAGCGCTATAAGGTCATGTTGAAAAAGGAGAGGCAGGACCTTTGACTAGTTCTAGTTCTATAAGTCCATAATACCTTGTACAGCTTTGAAATAAGTTCATACACATACATTTCAACTTTTTATATACAGTCAATCCTGCCCTGACGGCCACCTCTATAAGACGGCCACTATCCATTCCCCCCCCCTGCGTTTTTTCTATATAATTTAACTGTGTAAAACGGGCACCAGTCCAACGCGGCCGCGGCCACCATATTTTAACACATAACCCCTATAACACTAAGCAATAGCACCTGTCTTAGACGGCCACCTTAGTGACTCCATTACGTTTTGTCATAAATTGTGCACTGGCCCCTGGCGTTGTGGGCGAGCTGTCATAATTCAATCCCCTGTCGTTGTTGTTAGGTCGGCCCTCCAACCGATCATGTTAGGTAGGCCCCTCCCACTGTTGACCAATAGGTACAAATTTTCACCTGCTGGTGAGGTAAGCATGTGATCCGTCATAACCCATAAGCCCCGCCCAGAACTCATACACAAATCGTAAGTGAGATGAGCGATCACTGTTTCCCCAGTCTGCAACCAAGAAACAATGGACGTCAACATGAACGCGTCATTCGTTCTCCGAGTGGTGGCGGCCCATGTGTTTGTTTTAACATGGTACTCGGTCTTCCTCGTCTGATACATTTCGTTTTATTGTCACTCTTGCGCAAAATCAGCAACGAAATAAAAATAACAAACAAAATACAAGCCAACAACAACAAAAACAAGAAACAATGCGGCTACTTTTGATTGGGACTTCGGATGGGAATGGTATGTTGTCTTCATCTTGATCAGTCCTGCCTAAGATGGCCACCTGTCTTATACGGCCACTTTTCTCTTTGACAATGGGTGGCCGTCTTACACAGGTTTGACTGTATTTCAGAAACATTACCAATTTTGAGTAGATTATACAAATATATACAGGTAGAAGCTATATTTCAAAACATGAATGTGCCATTATGTGGATGAATCCGTACCTGAAAGGGCAAGTGATTTTATGAGTCTGTGATAGTATAGTACAGTTGGCTCCACTTGTGCTTGTGTTGAACTCACTTGAGTTTACCTTTGGTTAAGTTGATCTTTTTCTCGGATCCCAGCACCTTTTCTTCTTTACAGATCCTAACGATTAAGTTGAACTGCTGATGTGTTGATATTTTTTTCCACTCCCCCGATGTGCTAAAAGTGTGTTAGTATGTGTGTTCACGTTAAGCCTTTTTTCAGTCTAGTGGTATCACTCACCACTTTACTGAAGGAGAAAACTGGAAGAGGCTCCCTGTGACGTGAAGTCTGTGGCCAGTCCCTTACATTTATGACCATCTCCATGTCCGGCAAATGAGGCAACTGTTCCAGCAGAAAATGCTCCACTCCACTACACCTGGAAACGATTGAATAATTAGGATATAGACACTCTCTGTTTTTCAGTCCAGTCTGTTTCCTATCCAACAGTGTGAAAGTATTTTCCTCTAAGTATTTTCAACTCTTATCTACCTGGAAAGTCTACAGATAGATGAGTGAACAGCTTGGGTAAAACAGAATAACACTGGGACTAGGAAATGTTAGAGTAAAAAAAAAAAATGCAAATCAACATGATTAAAGACATTTTGTAGTGAACCAGTACAACATACTGAAAAATAATTTGAATACTAAACTTTGACAGGAGAGTCAAAATTTGTTATTTTTTGCCTGCAGTTCAATCTTGACCAGTGTTATTTATCCTCAGGGTCATTACACCAATATGTTCCTACCTGAAAGGAAACATGCAGTCTTTGTGTCTGTAGAGTTTGTGATTGAATATTTGGTAATGGACACCGAAGGGCAGAGCAGCTTCCACATCCTTCTGTGTTATCTTGCCCTTGTTTTCCCATACAGCAAGATCAGCATCTAGAACACTTAAAAGAAAAACCAAAATAAAAAAAAACCCACATATGTGAGGCATTGTGGTGAAATCAGGCGCTCGTCAAAATAATGAAATCCGAGAAATCTGCATTTTTCAGCCAGTTTGGAAATTTTTGTCAAATACTTGTAGATTTGTTGTTTTCAAGGACTCTTAAGCTTTGGAAGTCACCAAACTTTGGCAGCCATTTTCTTGCTAATTTTACCTCTGAAACCAGGCGACCCAACCTTCTTCAATTGCAAATATCTTGACTTCTATTCAGGATAAATGGATAATTTTTTTCATCGAAAGCAAGATAAATAAACAGGCTTCAAGATGATACCAATAACTCCATATGCTCAAAAATTGACGAGCGCCTGATTCCACTGCGTCGTGACACATATAACTTCAACTGAGTATAATATAAAAAGGCACAAGAATGTATTGTGACTAAACTATAATTATAGGGTTCCACATGAAACTACTGCAACACATCTTTTCTGAGGAATAGTTGTGAAACGCTAGATAAATACAGCCAGAAATAAGGAAAGACCTGTGATTAAAAGGGATGAATAAAAACTAAGAATTTAAAAACTTTATATATCTAGCATCTCCAAAAATTGAACTTTGCCAACCGCCATATGTAAGACATACATATTTCTGCAGTGTATGGATAAAAAATAAGTGCAATCATTGTAATGAAATTAGAAATTAGGTCAATGTTTGTTATATCAAGACAAAAGTTATTGAAAGTTTTAAACTAGGAATATCTCAAAACAAACCGAAAAAGACCGAGCGAATAATAAGAGAGGATTGTTTTCAGTCTCACCTGGTGAAGCACCCACAGTCCTCATTAGAGCAGTCATCATATTGTGCGACAGCCTCGTCCACTTTCTCCAAGTAATGTGACCAACGAGCTCCTGTGCAAATGGAGGGGGGAAAAATGCACAGTCTGAAGTGGGAAAATCTAGGTTTGTACTTAGGCTTCATGAGTATTATTTCTCAATTGCGTTTACAAATGACTCAAACAAGAGTGTTTCTTGGAGGGGACAGAGCCACGATCTACCCACTTTGCGGGAAATCTACTATGCACTAAACTTGTTGAAATAAAGTATCAAAATACTTACGGTAAGAGTATTTTTGTTATTTCGGATTGTTTAAAATGTGGTAGTGCTGTGTTCCGTAACACAGATTTAGCAGGGCTTGAATTAGGTGTTCAGGAGGGCAGGCAAAATTTGCCTCGGTGGGGCCAAAAAATCAGAGGGCACTGAGGCAATTTGCCAGGGCACCAAGGCAAAAATTATAGGTGATCATTTTGTTGATTAAAGTTGGTAATACTGGATCGTGCATCACACTGTTTATATAAATAACAATTACATTTATTTTTGCTCTCTACAAAAGTATAGAGTTATTGGAAATTCTTTAAAATCATGAATGAAAATTAAGTAGATCACAGTAAAATCACACCAAAACAAAATCACTAAAAATCTGTTTTAAATCAAATAATGATCACGTTTGCATCTGACTTTTAAATGCCTTCATGACTAGATATTATCTAGCTCTTATTGATTGGATTAAGATGAATGAATATGACTTTTGACAATAGGGTACGATAAAAAACAGTAAATAATATGACCAATTAGGTAAGACATTAATCATTTGAGATTCAAACAGAGTGGTTTACAGGCAGTGTAGTGATAAAATAAAAACAAATCATGGTAAATGAAAACAAATTTTCAACTTGTATGAAAAAAACAAAAATGAGGAATGAAAACAACTTAAAAACTTGTATTTGTACGAAAAAAAAAAGAATGAATAAATAAAAACTGCTGTCAAGCAGTTAAACAGTGTGAGGTTCTGACTATGATAAGTGGAAACAAGTTTTGAAAATACATGTTTTAAAGTGCATGTAAGTTTAAATAAAAAGACCTAATCAATCAGCATGTCATATTATGACTTATGACTAGATCAGAATATTGAAAATATGTTGGCACACACAATATAGAAAAAGACTGGCTTACTGTTTGTCCCTTATGGGAAAAAACAAGTGATTTTAAAAAGTATCACCAGAGAAGATGGCAGGTTTCACAATTTGGGTGCTCAGCATTTCCCAAAATTGACCAATATGAAGTGTTATAAAACATGACATATGATATACTGTTTGAAAGCTTAACATTTCAGGATACTAGAAATGCATATTTTATGAGCATCAGCTCATCGCAGTGTGCGTAAGAGACCTTCAAAGTTAACTCCCCCTGATTCTCACTAAATGAAGAAGCTTACTGAAATCTCTCTGTAAATCACATAAAGTACACAAATATAACACAAAAATATTCACAATCCACCGAAGAACACCCAAACAGCTTACTTAGGAAGAAAAAAAGCTGGAAACCTAAGATTTATACCCAGATTACTCAATTTGTTACATAACCCTGCAGTTAAATTAAAAAATTAAGTATAGTATTCTATAATTGTCAAACAAAGCACAAAACTTTCCTGAGCTCTTTGTAATATGAAAAAGTAATTTAAAATGTACTAAAGGACAAGTTTTTATGAAAATTCACAGAAAGATAGCCAAGTTAGAGGCAAAACAATAATTTTTAATTATTGGGTTATCTCCCCTGAAAATTGGAAAAATATCATTTGAAAGGTTATTTTGCCAAAAATACATCATATAAACACAGAAACCCAATGGGAAATGAATATTAAGTAACAGTGTGTCGTGAAAAAGAGAACAATGTGTACATTAATCCTTGGAAAGGTGCATTATTTTGCCTCAGAAGCAGAGTAATTTTGAGATTTTCGTGATTTCAGGGGGGTTATCAGAAATACTCGTAAATTCCTTATTTATACAAATAAAACCACAAACCACACATCACTGTACTGGCAATTGAATACAGAAAAGAAACACAAAAGCAATAAAATCCTCAGGAAGACTTAATTAAAAATAAATGTGTCACAACGCGGTCGGATCAGGCCTTCGAAATTTGGGCATGTGGGGTTATTGGTACCATCTGAAAGCTTAATTATTTTTGTCTTGCTTTCGATGAAAACAATACCCATTAATTTTGAGGAAAAGTCAAGATATTTGCAATTCAAGGGGAATAAAAGGCGTCGAGCCAAAAAACAAAATTTTCATAAAAATTGTCAAACACTGGCAGAAAATTGCCAGCTCCTTCGATTTCATTATTTTGACAAGTGCCTGATTTCACCACGATGCCTCACATTATTTGTATGGCAGAGATGTGAGTTTGAAAGTGGGGGTCTTTCAGTTTTGTCACATTGTCAAGTCCTACTGTCAGGTGATTAACCATGTTAAAATCATCGGTGATGTTGTCCGTAGTAATATAAATTCATTGTGTGTGTCATGAGTCGGTTATGTCGTCATTTTTGTAATGAGAGACTACTGGATAGAGCGTCATCTGCCTCTTACAGAAGTGGGCAGACTTCACTACATAAAGGTAAGTTGTGTTTTCTATTCTTGGTAAAGTCCTCAACAAGAAGGACCTCATCTGCAAATGAAAGGAGTAGACAAATGTTGTACAATGTACACTTCTTTTCTAGCATACATCTAAATTGCAAAGGGGTAAAAAAAAGTCTGTGAACATTGTTTCATTGGCCTTGTCCCTGCAAAGGAGTAGAAATTAACATGTAGGTGAACTCTTCATTCTAGATCTAGTATCAAATGTTTTAAAATTGAAAAATATTTAGAAAAGAAATCTATAATATCTATGGCCTGCAAAAAAAAAAGTAAATAATTTTATAACCCCAAGTCCAAACTCCACCAAGACTGATTGTAGGGCCTACAGCAGCCTAGACCCTAACTAAGCAACACAGAAAGAATAGACTAAAATTGCCCTCCAAGCTTAAGTTAAAAATAGTAAAAAGTGCCAAAAAACAACCCACAAATGATCTAGATCTAGAAGAATGTAGATAATGTAGCCTAGATCTAGATCTAGATCAAGCTCTATTTTTCACCTCAAAAGTCTGTCAAAGTTCCAATATTCCTCCTTTCAAATCATCAAATTGCTTTTTTTTTTGTTAAAGTAGCGAAATTACATTAAGATCAACAATAAATAACCCACGCGAAACTGAAAAGCGCAAACACATTCTTTCCGACGCCATGCGATGTCACGTCCTTCCGAATCCGTCACGAAACTTCAGTGCATTCTTCAGTGCATTTTTTACCATCAGCGCGATCGACCTCGAATGTCCATCCGAATCTAGAATGTTCGACACAAATTGCGCGTTTGCGATGTTCTTTCGATCGGGATGATTTACTATTCCCTTTATTTACACCATTCTTGGTTTTTTTCATCTAGTCTTATATCAAAGTTGAATGAATAAACACGAAACAGTACCAGAAACTCCGATTTGATAAGAAAATGCGGAATATTTACGCAAAACTAACATTCTTGTCGATCGTCATTAGGTCGATTGCCATCGGATGGACAACATTCTAAACCCGATTGCGGACGAACCGTTCACACAAGATGTCCAGACTAGCAGCGAATATAAAGTAACCGTCCCCGCAATTACAGGAACAAGGAAAGAATTAGAGTTTTCGGTCAAGTGGTATCGGTAATAGCTTTCTTTGTTCCCGGTCGATCGTCATTTACTGTCGGACGGACACGGGTCACGTGAGAATATCGGCCCATAATTTCTTAACCAATGACTAAAAAATGAACTTTTTTCGACTTACACGCTCAGAATAAGTGTTAGTTTCACATGGGGGCAAGTTTTTCACGGATTTCATATAGAAAGGTAGGTTTAGATGGCATTTTGAGAGCATCCTAATTCAGATGGACAGGTGTGATTAAAATACTGCCCAATTATCGATCCCTAGCCTAGGTCTACGGACATGTAGGCTTGAGATTTGCTGTTTGAAAAACTTTTCAAGGCTATTTTCCAAATTCTACACAACAATTTTGTGGAAATAAGAGTTTTTGGCCTTATCCAGATGAGCTATCTGACTAGACCTAGAAAATGGGAAATGGTGTCCTTCTGAAAAGTGACGATAGACAGCCTAAGATCAGTCATAGAAAATGAACAATAAAAAACAAAACAAATTTTAATGGTTTTCTAGTTTATTTGAAGCAAACACAACACAAACACAGTTTGAAAAATTGTTTATTTCAACAAAACATAAACTTATAGGCATTGAAACATCTCACCACCTCAGTGCGCATAAATTGTGAAACCTGCCAGATGATTTCAGAGAATAGTGCCTTTTTTTATCAGGACCTTTAGTTGTGAGACACATCTCTTGCCACATCGCTCACATCTGCAGCCTTCTTTTTCATCCAGAGCTTTTTTCAGACACTACTGCTGAGGTTTGATTATCAATGATGTGAGTGTGTTTGTACTAGCCATGACAAAATGGACACAATTATCAAGCTGAGCAGTGTCAGACTGTAGCTTTTTTTATGAGATTTCAGACAAGTCTCACAAGATTTCTCCATACCCCGGCCCTCCCACGCGTGTATCTTAAAAATTAAAAAATCAATAATTCCCCCCTTTCTGGAGTCCCATACTTCGCAACGTTCAGACTTTGAATGAACTTTGGTGACCCCCAACAACCGGTGCTCACACGATGCCGTATCTTGTGATTAAGTTGTGATACCAACGCTCAGGGTCACTGACCTACCACGATGGGGAACCCGACAAGACGCTTGTATAACTTTCTTTTCTTTTTTTCCACAAGAGACAGCACAGGACAAATAGATCTAGTGATTTATTTTGATGGTGGCAAATCTTTTTTAAAAAAAAAAATCAAGGGCACTGTAAAAATTGCCGCGGTTGATTCTTTGTTTTTAAGGGCATTACGGCAAATTGCAAAGGCACCAAGGCAAATTGCCGCTGTCTATTTCAAGCCCTGATTTAGGGAGGACTTCTGTAACGAGCGACCATTTGGGCCTCGCAGAGTAGAATGTATTGTAGGGTTTGGGTTTGGGTTTGGGGTAGGGTTAGGATTTGGTTTGAATTAGGGTTAGGGTTTGGGTTTGGGTTAGGGTTTGGATATTTGGGTTAGAATTAGCTGTCTTCTACTTTATTGTGTTTGTTGGAGTGGTCGCTCGTTACGGAAGCCCTTCCCAGATTTAACTTCGACTTTGGTGGACCCATCGTATTTACATGTAGGCCTATTAATGGGCACTGAAAACAACAGGGGCTTGCCCCCATGGCAAAATATTTTAAAAAGGAAATCGTTCATTTTGCCACATACATGGTCATCTCGTCACATCCCAATGTGTAATGAAATGACTTCCCTTAATTAAATCACTTCAATATTGTTATGCTACTAGATCTATATCTAGATCTAGATAGATCTAGATTTAGTTAGTAGAGTTTTGGAGGATCAGCGCCAGCAGTCTTTATTCTAAATCTCCATGTAATCTCGATTGATTCAGGCGGCATTCCGAATCGATGAAAGTGAAAAGTAAAGTTTGGCCGCCAATACTAGATTTAGATCTAGAATCTAGATCTAGATTCTAGATATAGATTCTAATTTGAACATTAACTTGAACTCCCTTTGCAACTGAAGCCCTACCTTTAGTATACTTTTTCTTTTCATGATCTTTATCAGCATTGGCAAACTCAACACTGAAAAGGCAAATCAGGGCGAAGAAAAATGTAGTCGACTTCATCATCACCATCAAGAACGTCAAGCAAGGTTTGGAATTTCTAGGAAATTGTTGTTGGTGTGTGTCGGTGAGGTTGTGTAGTGTAAACCAAACAGTCACCTAGATTTAGCCTACGTTACAAAAAATTGCTCAAGACCATTCAGATTTCGTACTTTAATTCTTTCGCCTACTCAGCAGTCCAAAAATACTAATACATGTAATGGTAATAGTAAGTGTATGGGTTTAGCGCCCCTGTCAACAAAATGAGATACAAAATATTATTTTGGTTGGTTTTAAGAAAGGAATATTGTAATTAGTTTCGTATATAATATAATATCATGTGATAGCACAGAATTCTACACTTAGTGTAGAATTCTGTGTGTGATAGCAATTATTTGTTCCAACTTAATCAATATGCTAGTCTTCCTTTGACAATAAAATAAATGACATGGCAGAGCGAGATTGCTCAACAACTATATTATATGATACAAAGGAAATAGATCTAACTACTGTAAAAAAAATATTAAAAAACGAAAAACCCACCCATTCAGTATACATTTTTTCTTATTAACATGATGTATAAAAGTAAGGCCTATTGTAATCGAACAATTATCGTTAGAGCACAGAATTCTACACTTAAGTGTAGAATTCTGTGCGTTAGAGGCAACGCGTTCTCAGTATTAGCAGCCCCATTGGTACACGAGTGATGGATTACAGCTCCCAGGACATCAACAGACAGCGGCACTTCATGTACACCGTCCGTTCCAGGTTCCCGGACGTAGGGTTTACCAAAAGATGTAAGACAGTAAGGTCCTTGGGTTCACCCCAGACTCGTGTCACTCGTGAGCAGAAGATCACGCTGAAGATGAAAAAAAAAAACAACTTAAAAAACACGTACAAATGTGAGGCAGCGTGGTGGAATCAGGCTCTCGTCAATTTTTTGGGCATGTATAGTTATTGGTATCATCGTAAAGCTTGTTCACTTGTGTTTATTTGGGTGAAAAAAATATCCATTTATCTTGAATACAAGTCTAGATATTTGCGAATGGAGGAGGCGGGGGTCACCTGTTTTCAGGGGTAAAATTAGTGAGAAAATGGCGGCCAAAGATTAGTTATTTCCTTAGCTTAAGAGTCCGTGATAACTGAAAATTTACATTTTGTGTGCCTTTAATCAACGTTTTTAAGAAAAATCCACACTGGAATGAGTTCTTTAATGGGCATGATTTGAAAGGTGTTGAGCCAAAAAATAAAAATTTGATAACAATTGACAAACCAACTAAAAAAAGCATGTTTCTTCACTTTCATTATTTTGACGAGAGCCTGGTTCCACAACGCTGCCTTACAAATGACACTGTCTGGCTTCTTCCTACAATGATGATGGTGATGATGATGATGAGGAGGAGGAGGAGGAGGAGGAGGAGGAGGAGGGGGAGGAGGGGGAAGAAGAAGAAGAAGATCCAAATTATAGGTAGAATTCTTATCAAATACTGGTATCTCGGTCTCTGTACTGGAATGCTATATCCCTATATGCCCAGATTGGCCGTGCCAGGCAGGGTTGGAAACATGGCTCCTATTTAATAATCGAAAGAGTGTCGATGAGACGGTAAAAACGTACGTATTAAAAAACGATGATCATTCATATGAGCTACAGGAGATGAAGGAGGAGGAGGGGAAGAGGGGAAGAGGTGGAGGTGGAGGTAGAGGAGGTGGAGAAGGAGAAGGAGGAGGATACAGAGGAAAAGCGAAGAGGAAAAAGAGGAAGAAGAGGAGAAGATCGAGAAGGCGGAGGAGGGGGAGGAGGAGGAGAAAGAGGAGGAGGAG